AACACTGACTGGATATTTCATATTTAAACAATTATTAATATTTTAGGTCTGATAATGGTATTAAAAATATCCTTATCTTTTAAAGGTATATATTTAAGTATTTATGGGTGAAATGATATACTATCTAGGAATTGCCTTGAAATAATCCAAAGGATCAGGATGGGGGGATGAGTAGAAGCAGAGATGAAGTAAAGATTGACCATGAGATGGTAATTACTGAAGCCAGCTGATGGGTAAAGGGGATTCTTCATACCATTCACTATATTTTTGCATTAAGTTTTACATTTGCCATTATAAAACATTTAAAGAATTTAACCTGTGGTGTTAGAAGTCAGCACAATGGTTACCTTTGAAAATGGGAACGGGAGCCACAATAAGGGCTTCTGGAGTGGTAGGAATGTTCTGTTTCTTATACAGGTTTGTTCACTTTGTGATAGGTCATCTGTCTTTACATTATGATTTGTGCACTTTTCAGTATATTTTACACTGCAATCAAAAAGTATTTTTTTAAAACTAAATAAATCCACTGTGTATCAACGCATGGGCAGGCACTAGGGTAGAACTGCATGCAGGTACTACGGCAAACACTGAGAACGCCGTCTTTGCTCATCCATAAGGGGAAATAGCTGCCTGTCTTAGCCGGCTGTGTGAACATTAAACGGGATGGCATGTGTGAAGTCCTTGGCGCAGAACTAGCAGTGAACCACGGCTGCCTTTTGACTCATATGTCAGAGGACCTGAGCTGCATTCATGGCGTGCTCAATCCCGAAACGGCAGTGTAGGTACTACGCGCTAAATAGCACTCCCGGTGTTAAAACAAGACCTCCATAGTAATTAATTACCCTCACACTGGAAGCGGGTCAGATCTCCACTCGCCCTCCGTCTAGGTTCTAACAGAAAACCACTGAGACTGAAGAAGGGAGGCACCATAGCTCCACGCCGATCCGGCGCAATCGCTTGAGCCGATGGAAGCCCCACACCAATAGCCGGGACCTTCCCTCGCAGTCTCCACCCCACGCCCTCCAATGGAGGCTCGCGGAGGAAATCTCTCATAGCGCCCTCCTCCCTCCGCTAATCAGCAAGCCCGCACCAGGCCATGGCGCCCAATCACAGCGCTCCACATGCTAAGGGTAGACCTACGCGCACGAGCGCACAAGGTGGGGTTGGGGGCGGACAGGCCGGCGCCCAGACGCCGGTCTGCAACGGCTCCGCGGCGGTCTCCGCCGAAGCCGCACTGCCACCTACTGCCCGGTCTGCGAGCTGCAGCTCCGGGCGCTCCGCCTAACCAAAGGCGGGGCCTCACTCAATTCTCAGGGGCCCATATCACACACAATCCAGAGTTAGGGAAAACATGCGGTATTACCACGTGTGGGCTAAAGTTCTGTTACATTCAACTTTACAGTAAAAAAAAAATACTGTCTCAAACGGCACCTTTTTCTTCTAAACAGTTTGAGTTGGAAAGCTTACCTCACATCCTAACATTCTATATAGGGGTGAACTCAAGGGGGCAGAGACTCATTCATCCCACATATTTCTGGAGCACTTTACTGCATGACAGCGGATTATCTGCAGGAAGCATTAGCAACATCCCTAATTTACAGGTACAGAAACGAGGTTAAAGTGACAGTTTCTGAAAGTGACAGAGTGGGGTTCACACCCATGTCTGCCCCCAAGTACAGACTCTTCACGACATCACACTACAAGAGAGGTAGAGAGTGCTGTAAGAATATAGGGCAAGGAAAAATCAGTTCTGACTGGAGAAGGATTCAGGATGTACATAGGATATTGGAGGAAGGCAGTTTTCAGTAAATGGTAACTGGTACTGCTTTTCCAAGTACACTAATTTTAGAGAGAAGATAATTACCTTCATGTGATATTTACTCATTGCATATTATTATGCTTATTCTTTGGTGAACAGCTTCTGCTTATTCAGAAATCTGTAATGTTCCCTTAGATTTGTTTCCAAATCAAATACAATGTTCTCCATTCCTAATTTTTCCTACATTCCTAGGAAAGTGTTAACAATAGCTTTCCTGAAATTATTCATTCTCTTCTCTGTACTTACATATCACTTTTCTTGTAATTCATATATAGCACATCAGAACAAGCTTTTCAATATAATTAATTCAATCCCTGTTGGTTTTATTACTGTAATAGTGGTTCTAGTGGTCAAAGGAGTGCTGGTGGCCCTAGAGAACATTTTAGAATATACAGGGTTATTTTTGGCGACTATCACAATGACTGCAGGGCATTACTGGCACTTAGTGCGCAGAAGTGAGGAAAATTAGATAACCTGCAATGCTGAGACTGTCCAACACATCAAAACATTGTTCCTGTTGGGAGCCAGAGTTTTCAGTACGGAAGGGAGATACAAATATGGATAAAGGGTGGCAAGGAAGAGCCCTGTGGGGATGAATTAGAATTAGAGGTTTCAATATGAACTCATTATTTGTAAAATATATACATGTAAGATTATATGCACGTATGTACAATATATTTACGTCTGGCATACATATTCTTTCTAGCTCTGTCCACTGAACGGGCAAAGCAGCAAAAACTCCACTGTAACAAGAGGACACTTAGTACACAGATCTTGGTTTCTAATACTATTCTCTACTTATAGGAACCAGAGCTCTTTGGAGAAGCAGTTGATTCCAGGGCTACAACAAGGAATGCATAAGATGGAGCATTGGGAGCCAGCTTGAAAGGGCTTCTACTAACCAAATCTGAGACAATTTGGCCACCAAAATAATTAAGGATAGTAATGAATCATTAAAAGAAAAAAAAAAGAGGAATCCACAATCTGTAAGACTATTCTGACATATAAATGGATAAATAGATAAAGAAAAAAAGGGAGGGGAGAGCTCTTGCTTATGATAGAATATTGATAGAATACTGTATAAAATATTGATAGAATACATTAGTAAATGTGGATATATTAATGGGGTGGGAAAACATTTTGTAACCATCATAGTCAAGACTGATGCAGGCAATAAGCTAAATGGATGCTACATCTAGGGGGAAACGTATGAGAAGCAGCAGGACATTTGCATGATACTGAAATATATCTCCCTACAGATTGTCTATGAGTCACAAGGGAGAAAAATATTAACTCTTCAGTGGGGAAATCAGACAACTGACTGGGTAGTCAAAGCATCTCCAGAGAAGGCAGATGGACATCAGGTGCCTCCAGATGAGAAGATACCCTGAGGAGAACACAGTGTCACTGATAATATTCTGGTAGGAGGAGCATATCTTGAATTTAATCATGAGGAAATATCAGATAAACCCATAAAGAAGAATATTCCATGTAAAAAAGGCACTGCTTCTTAACACGTCAGGTAACACACACAAAGCACTCAGCTTAAAGGGCTAAAACATATCAACAAACTCTCAAATGGTTTTTTAAAAATGTATGTACAGATAGAGAATGAGAAAGCAAAAACAAATGGGTCAAAATGATGACAAGTGAATCTGGGCAAAGGGTATCAAATTTTTTATAAGTTTAAAATTATTTCCTAATAAAAAGTGAAAACATTTGCCCAGATACCATGCCATCTATGACATGGCAGACATTCACACTACTAAAAAAAAAAAAAAAATAACACCTGTTTATTTAACATATAAACTACTTAACTATTTAACATATAAACACAAAGTACTTTTTTGGGCTCAGTTTTAAAAATAAGTTGAATTTTCCATAAATGAACTAGCATGTAAATTGAAAAAGATAGCACTTCGACTCATTCAGAACTTTACTGAGAGCTGTTTACCATTTTGGGAATAAAACCATGTCACTTATGATAACGCCACTGCTGGTATTTGACTTCGCCAGTCCCACATCTGTATCCATTTGCATTTCTAACTGTTGTTCACAGTGATTCTACATTTCAGTCCAAGCAAGTGGTTGCTCATCTTTTGACTTCGCCAGTCCCACATCTGTATCCATTTGCATTTCTAACTGTTGTTCACAGTGATTCTACATTTCAGTCCAAGCAAGTGGTTGCTCATCTTCAGATCTCCTCAGCCCTGCTTTGGCTGGCCCCTGCCCATACACCCATTCCTGGACTCAAAAACCACCTCTGATTTAGTTTTTGTAATCACATTATCAAGGGAGAAAATGAGTTTTTTGACCATCCTCCACATCCCCACCCCTGCCTCCAAACACACACACAAAGACAGACATGAGAAAACATAAACATGGGGGACTTTATTCTTTAACATAAGTCAAAAAATGCAGAGAAATAAATATGGGGGAAAATATTAGATGGTAACTGGAATTATATTTAAAAAATACATCAGTCCCATAAAACTATCACCAATTGTCTGACTTTATCAATATCCTGATGATGTTATATATACTTTACATATATGAAGTACATACATTTCACAAAGTCCTCATAGGGCCAACGATTTTTTTTTAAGGCCTTGTTTTATAAAAGAGTGGTGCTATGTTTGTGATGTGATATAGGGAACAGAAAAATGGAAGGATAATTACGAGCCTACTGCCTGAGAAGATGTTAGCCAACTATTTTCCCTAAATGGCATATATGAGATTATAATGCTGCTTTCAAATCCATCCACCGCATGGTAATGAAAAACAGAAGAGTCAAAAAGATCCCCGAAGTTCACAAGTTAAGAAATAACAATAAAAAAGGATGAAAATATAAAATACATTTTTCTCTGTAGATAATGTAAAACAGAGACACGCTGCATGGTAAACTAACTATATGATAAAAGTGGACAAAAACAAATAAAAGAATTGTTTGCATTAATTTATGGAGACTAATCATCAGGGCACAAATGAAATAGAAACCTGCAGAACAGCAAAAATGATTCTATCAGGTATGAAACAACAGTCTAATTCTTTTTGAGAATTAAAATGTAGCTGAGTGGGATCATCATAAAAACATCATTTCATTTCATATATACATCATATATGATGATAAACATATGGAGTGACTGAAGATAACACATAAAATAGTCCAATAGGTACCTACCAAGGTGACAATGTTCTTTTTCTCTTGCTTCCCACTTGTGGCTGTCCACATATGCTGCAGAAAGCAGACATCTTTTACCTGAGGAAAAAGTCAATTATTTCAATAGGCAAGGTTTTACAAGAGGTTCAGTTTATATATCTATTCTATTAAACATATCTTTGTCATATCTTCAATTCACTAGATTACTTAAAAGATTCTAGTATGGTGCTGTAACCAGTGTTGCACAATCCAGTTCATGATAACATGCATTCAACCTCTAACAGGTAGAAGATGCAGGAAAACTGAAAATCTCTACAATAATGTTATGGGTAAAATATTTGGTAATTTTGTCCTATAATTTTAGGACTAGGAGTCATTTGTTTCCATTGTTCTAACTCCTTCTTAGAACCCAAACAGGCTGGACTATTGCTTACCTCATTAAGCAAATACTTTATAATCACTAGTTAGTTCTAAAAACATCTCCACCTGACTTAAGATCAGCATATTTACTCTTATTTCACATAAAGCAGAGAGTAATATCTTTCCTAGTAACCCAGCAACCTAGTAATAAATAAGAGGAATCCAATAAACCAAATTTGAGCTAACATACAAGATGGCATAAGCTGTATTCCCAGCACCTGGCACAATGACTGGCATATGGCACTGCTCAATGATCATAAATTCAAGAAATAAATGAGAAAGAATAAATGGCAACAATCAAAATTAAAACCTTTTTTTGCTTCAAAGGATACCATCGAGAAAGTGAAAAAACAACTCACAGAATGGGAGAAAACATTTACAATCATTTATCTGATAAGGGACTTGTATCCAGAATATATAAGTAACTCTTGCAACTCAAAATTTAAAAAGACAAATAACCCAACTAAAAAATGGGCAAAGAATTTGAACGGACATTTCTTTAAAAAAAAGAAAGCATATACATGTATACATACACACACATACACATACATATAAATGGCCAACCAGTCCAAGGAAAGATGTTTAATATCATCTGCCATCAGAGAAATCCAAAATACATTGAAATATTTCACACCAACTAGGATGACTATAATTAAAGGACAGTAACAGTTGTTGATAAGGATGTAGAGAAACTGGAACCCTCATATATTGCAGGTGGGGATGTAAAATGGTACAGTCATTTTGGCAAAGTTTGGCAGTTCCTCAAAACATTAACATGGAGTTACCAAATAACCCAGCAATTCCACTCCTAGGTATACACCCGAGAAATTAAACCATGTATCCACACAAAAATTTATATACAAATTTTCATTGGAATATTATTCATAATAGCCAAAAAGTGGAAACAATGCAAATATCCATCAATTGAAGAGTGGATCAAAAAAATGGGGTATAGTCTTACAATGGAATACTATTGAATAATAAAAAAGAAATGTAGTAGTGATGTATGCTACAACATGGATGATCTTGAAAATATTATGCTAAGTGAAAAAGAAGCCAGTCACAAAAGATCACATATTGTATAATTCCATCTAAAAAGAATGCCCACAATAGGCAAATCTAGGGGGACAAAAAGTAGATTAGTAGTTGCCTAGATCTGGAAGGAAGCAGGTTAGGAAAGTCTGGAGAAAATGGGGAGTGACTGCTAATGGATTTTTTGAGGTGATGAATATATCCTAAATTGATTGTGGTCATGGCTGCAAAACCCTCTGTATATACAAAATAGAAAACAAAACAAAAAACTCCACTGAATTGAGTACTTTTAATGAGTGAATTGTATGATATGTGAATTATGTCTCAAGAAAGGAAGGAAGGAATGGCAGAAAATTACCTAAAAGTCAAAGCAAACAGTAAGCCAAACATACTAGATAGCACAGGAGATGATTAAACACAACACCCTCATGCCATTGTTATTCTCTGTCTATATCCCAACCAAAATAAACAAACAGAAACATCTCTGTGGGTTTCTATACAAACTAATTCCTCCCTTACTTTAAGCACATGTCAGACCTTTACTGGAATAAAATGTCTAAATCTGAGATCTAAAGCTTAAGCAAGGATGCGATAATATGAAAAGGCTTCCAATGACTGTCTCCATGAGGAACTAAGATGTATTTTAAAATAGTAACCATTAAAAAGTGCTTATATTTCAAATGGATTATGTTTTTAAATGATTGGATGTTTGGAGTTTAGAATACATTTTTCACAGAAACAATGTTATAAATTGATCTGCCAAGAGGATAAATACAATGTGGATGGTTATGTTAGGTGTGTAGCTGAATACCAAGTCAGGAGTGAGGAGACTTGAGATTTAGTTTGAGTTTTACCAGCTGGTAGAAAACTTCAGCTCCTGCAGCTGCAAAGAAGGTGAACTAGGTAGTATTAAAGAACCCTGCATGCTCTAACAGTCTGCCACAGAACCACAAGAATCAATTTAGATAATCCATACATAATTTACAGCAGCATTTCTATGCAAACTGCACACCAATTTCTAAAACTAGAAAGATCTTTTTCTGTGAAAAACAAGAGCAGCCCTTTTCTACATATGAGCTGAGAGAACTGTTAAGCCTTATTTACCTCAAGACACCAGGGGTTTACTTATTCTCAACCTATTACTGTTTTACTTATTTATTCTCTATTTCTTCTTTTAGATCATGCTTTTTTCTAGCACAAGAAATTGCCTAGAGTCAAGAAAGACAATTATCTGGATTAATGTTCAAGAGTTTTGAACTAGGAGACAAAAAGCAAGGGAGGGGATGATGGGGAAAGACAGGAGACCCAGAATGTCCTGTGTGCAATTGTTTAAGGGGATTACATGAACTAAAAACAAAATAAGACCAGTAAATTTATAAAAGGTAGGTGAGCCTAGCAACCTCTCTATTTATGAACTTTTTATAAAGTTCCCTTATAAAGAAAGTAATCAGTAATAATTTTCCATCTCCACTGAGGGTAGGACAAAAGGATGTGGGTATAAGGATAAAGAATTTAAATTTAGCAAATGGAAGATTTTTCTAATAGAAACCAATGATAAACATAGGAATGAATTGCCAAATATGGCAGGCAGAATAATGTCCCCTTAAGATATCCATATTCTAACCCCAAGAACCTATGAATATGTTAGGGTATGCCACAAGGGGAATTAAGGTTGCAGATGGAGTAAAGATCAGCAAATCAGCTGATCTTAAAATGAGTGTGTCCTGGGTCATCCAGATGGGCCCAATGTAACCACAAGGTCCTTAAAAGTGGAAGAGGAAGACCTGTTGTTAGTGCGATGACACGTGAAGTACAACGTGGTAATAAGGACTTGACCAGCCATCACTCACTTTGTTTTGAGAAAGGGAACCATGAACCAAGGAATGCAGATGGTCTCCCGAAGACAGAAAAGGCAAGGAAACAGATTCTCCCGAAATTCCTAAAGGCAACACATCCCTTTCAACATCTTGATTTTAGTGCAGTAAGACCCTGTCTCAGACTTTTGACCTACAGAACTGTCAGATAAAATTCTACGTTGTTTTAAGCCACCAAATTTGTGGTAATTTGTTACAGCAGCAGTAGGAAATTACTACACCTTAAGACAGACAGGTATTCCATTTTCTGTAAGTTTTTAAAGCAGGATATTCATCTTTCTGAGATACTTTATGACACTTTAAAGTTCTCTCCTCTGTATAGTTGGTAGATCTATATATGAACATGAGACTCAAAGAATTTCTAAAAAGTCAGAACACTAAATTGAGTGGACAATGGCAAAGTGGAAATCTACATCAGCATCTCAAACTTTAATGTGCCTATGAGTCTTGATAAAATGCAAGTTCTGATTCAGTAAGTCTGGGATGGGGACAGTCTGCATTTCTAACAAGTTCCCAGGTGATGATGATGTTGAGCCTCAGACCACACTGAAGTAGCAAGGGAACAGATTATCAGCCTCACAGGTTTAGGTCTCTGAGCTTGTTAAATCCCATTCTTAGTATGTCCCACAAGAGTATATATAAACTTTTCTTGAACTTGTTTATCCTTCAGCCATTCAGCTTTCAAGGCAACCATAATCTCTAAGATAACTATGCACTATAAAAAGTATTTTCCCCATTTACTTCTGAAAAGATACCTCCAAGAACCACAGTTTCAACGTTTGGTGACAACTTGGCTCTATCCATATCCTTATTCATTTTATAGTTATTTTGGCCTTTGGTCAAATGTCTCCAAACATGTTTTCCACCCAAAGGGAAACAGTGTGATTGTGGACATAGATAGGCTTTAGAGTCAGAAAGTCTAAATTTGAATCCTTGTCTTGCTAATAAATGCTATGAAATGCTGGCAAGTCATACCACGGCTTCATATGTAAAATGGGGAAGTAATGCCAACCTTATATCAGAGTTAAAATGAGGGCATATATCAAGTGCTTAGCCTAGTGTCCACTGTGTAATTGGTGCCAAGTTTCCTTCCTCTAGCATCTTCATATATTGAAGTCACTTTTTTGGCTCTTCTCAATAAATTTTCCTTTCATCCTCTTGATCATTTTAGTTGCCCTTCTCCATGTTGAAAGGAGAATCAATGGAAGCACCAAAGTGTTTCAAATAATGATTTATTATGAATTTGTACAAAGTAGAGTATTTTTTCCTCTTACCCTGCAATGGTTCAAAATGTTTTGATGATTTAAAGTCAAGGTCTTTATGGGCATTCTCAAATCCCAAGTGGTCCATAATGTGCTCTGAACATTAATAATTAAAAAGAAATCTCTTTTAAACTGAAGTCAGGAGGCCAGAATGGGGAGCTCTTATTGGCTGTCAATTGCAGACCCAACAGGAAGAGAGGTACCTTGCAATTCCATAGTACTTTCCATACTACTTTAGTAGCCTAGCAGGAAGAAGGGCTTTCTCCTCTCCTGGCAACTGTCTGGCCAATGAGACCATTACAACTCAGCCAATGAGAAGTCAACTCCCAGTTCACTCCCCGGTCTCCTTGTTTATAAGAGCCCTCCCAACTCCTCCCTCCCTCTCCTCTCCAGACTTGCTTGTGGTTTTGGGATATCTTTCACACCCCAAACTGCTATTTCTCTGCTATTCCAGAATAAGCCCATTTTTGCTCGTTAATAACTGACAGTGTCATTTTTAAGGTGAATAGCACTATAAGCTTGCCTCAGAGCTTTCAGTTCCTCACTTTAAGATTCCTTTGATCTATTGTCTAACCTAGTGCTTCCAATATAACTTTCTGGAATGATGTAAATTTTCAATTCTGAGCTGTCCAATAGAAACGCCACTAGCCACAGGTGTCTATTGAGCACTTAAAATGTAGCTAGTGTAACTAAGGAACTGAATGTTTCATTTTTTAAAAAACTGATTTAAATAGCCACATGTCACTAGTAGCTACCACAATGGGAAAGTACAGGTGTAACCTACCACAAGTTTCACCAATTCCAAGTAAGACCAAAAAGAACTGGAAATTCTTTCAAGTCACCCTTCTCTAATTCCCAGTTCCTGTGGGAATAACTGCCCCCCAAACATTCTAAGCAACCATGATACTTCTGCCTGACAGGCAATCCACGGTCTAGTTTAAACTGAAAAGCAGGAACAACCATAATTAAACAAGCTAATAAACAGCTACAACAGCTAATTCTTACTGAGGTGCCAGGTATTATGCATACCACTTTACCTAATGTGTGGCACTGAACATTTTCTCCAGCTAGGTCAACCAGTTAACCCTCAGAAAATTTCTGGTGGCTAACTATGAGGTTTCACGTTGGCATTTGATCGCTTTTGCTAAAGAATTTTGAGCAAGAGCATATATGTTGCTGTTTTACAGGGGCTAGAGAGGTATGTTGGAAAGAGGTGATAACAGACATTGGAAACATCGGTTGTGATTACTGAATTTTAAATATATCAGATATATCTGTCAAGATCTAGCTTTTGTAAATGTTATATTTTTTTCCCAATGTTCTCATCAGCAGATCCATAATAAAGGTTTTGAGTGGGCTGCCATTCACACAAAAATTACAAGTACTTTAGAAGTAATAGTATACTGACATTTGCTGTCTACACGTGGAAACCTGTACCACAGAAAGGTCAGTCAAAAGTTGTGGCCAAGGTCATCAGGTAAAGTGAGATTAGGAGGGAAAAATTCTTCCATCACGTGAAGACTAGGGATCTGGCCAAGTGTGAGAAGGTGAGGAGAATATTTACGATACATCTCCAAGAAAACTTAAACTTACTTGCTAGCCCCGTGAGCGGACACGCTGGAGCTTTTCATGATCAGCAAACAGACGACCACCCTCACACAAAAACCCATCACATCACACGCTAAAGCTTTCATGCCATAAATTCCTCTGCTCTTCACACCTTCGTACTGGCAGACGCTATTATTTTAGGGAAGGAGATGATGAATACAGACTTCACCTTCCCATTCTGTGCTACCAACCTCCCAAATGGTTTCTTTAGCAACTAAATCCCAAGGCTTTCCTTTCCTCTCGAAAGCCCACCGCTCCCCTCACTCAAAGAACAGAGTTCTCAGGCGCCCACCGAAGCTGCCCCGCGAAGGCTCCAGTTACCAACCTGCCGGGGTGAGCGGACGCAGAGGAGCCCTCCGCGCCAGGAGCGCCGCGAGCCGCACCGTGGGGGCCGCCATCTTGGAGCATGCCAACAGGGCGCCAGCCCGGGGGCGGCCGGCGGAGGAAGGGGCGGAGTCACAGCCAGGCCCCTCCTGGGTACCGCAGTTGGTGCGGCCCAAGACAGCATGGCTGCCGCCATCCGGCCCTCCAAACAAGTCCAGCTGCAGGCCCTGCGGAACGTGCTGTCTCCCGGGGTGGGCGGTTCAGACTCCGCCTGCCGCCGCTGCCCACTAGGAGGTACTCGCGGCCTCGGGCCGCAAAGGAGGGGAGGGATTGGGGTGGATGGGAGCTTTACGTCTCAACGGGCATCCCTTGAAATAACAGCTCCTCAGTCCGCACGACCCTGGAGCAGCCTACGTGCCCTCACCCTCTAGCCGCACGTGGGTGCCGCGGTGGCCCCTGGGTGTTGTGGACTCCTCTATGCTTGGGAACCAAAGGACAGTGGGGCTGGGGTCTTTGACCTTGGGGTGTAGTATGGATTATTTATACCACATGGAGATAAGATCAATTACTAGAAAGAGGCATTCAGGCTCTACTCATATTATTTGCTAAGTATAAACCCTCGGACGGGGCTGTTCTCGGAAAATCAGGAAACATGCGTTCCCCCTTGGGTGCTGAACTGTGGAGGTCTCAGACTTTCCTACTTCGGAGTCCCAGCTCTTTGCTAACAGTCTGAAAGACCTTGAGCAGGTTTCTTCTTTGTAAAATTATCCCTTAATATTTTTATGAAAATGATTGAAAATGCTAATGAGTGATGATAAAAACAACACTTTGCTTCAGGTATTACTGTAATGCATTTTGCATACGTTAATTTTTTCACACACCATCCAGTGAGAGAGGTGCCATTCTTTTCTCCATTTACAGAGGAGGAAATAGCAAGACTAAGTAATTTACCGGAGGTCAGAGGGGACTACCTGGTAGAGGATGGATTGGAAACAGGCAGGCCAAAAGTAGAGTCCTGCTGTAACCACTTCTCCAGACTTACCTTACATAAATAAACAGCAATTTTTGTTATCTTGTTACTGCGGTACAGAGAGCTTTTAGGATGATTCTTTTTCCAAGTTCCGCTCAGTGCACAGCCAACCTTCCTAAAGAAATGATGTTTCCCAAATTCATCTTCACTACTAAATTGTGGTCATTTATTTCTGATGTGTCTTGAGATACTTCGAATCCAAATCTGAGAGGCCATGACAACCTATTCACAAATGACAGAAATAGGAATTCCAGTGGTCAAACTATAAAGCTTTTCCAGTACACTATATCCTTCTATCTTGACCTGTTTTACATTTATGCATAGCCTTTAATTTGTAATTCCCTTGTTGTCCCTTAACTGGATGATGAATGTATCTTTCAGATGTGGAATTCCTGTCAATCCATCCCCATACACAGTTAACCACTAGCTCCTTTCATACACAAACAAAACTTGTCTGAGGATTTGCATCCTATGGTAGTTTGGAGATGTTTTTTTCCCACCGGGTGACTTATATTGTGCCTGTCTGGATGGATTATTTATACCAAGTGAAGATAAGATCAATTACTAGAAAGAGGCACTCAGGCTCTACTCATGTTATTTGCTAAGTATAAAGCAGTCAAAATGATTTTACTCTTTTTCTTTAATTTACAGCTAAAAGGTACCTACTTACAGATAATGTCATGAAATTAAAAGAATTTCAGCACAAGAAGTTGGCTATTGCATATCATCTTCCTGGCACCAAAGGTAATCAAATCTATTTTGTTATTTCTTTCACTGACCTGTCATTCAAGTTTCCTGTGTCTATATGCCTGTTCAGTCTCTCCTTCAAGGACTTTATATCTCAGAAAGATTGAGATGATTTATTCTTAGTTTCCTCATCTACCACCTTTCACATGTCTCTCTGCTATTAACACATTCTACAGCTTTCCTCTTATCCCTTCTCCCAGCATCCCAGAGAAATACTGAAATTAGTGCTGCAACCAGTCCTCCCTAGATCCATGCCACTCAAAGTAAGGCTCAAGGATCAGCAGCAACTGGGAAGTTGATAGAAATGCTAACCCTCAGGCACCAGACGATTTGTATGCACAATAAAGTCTGAGAAGAACTGTTCCAGATGATTGGTTTTCCAAGTTTTTGATGCAACCCTCAGTTAAGAATACATCTCACAGGTGTCCCCAGTACACACATACAATACCCATAAATGACATAAAGTGAAATAGAAGAATCGTATGTGTGACAGTGCATTTTCATATATTCTAGTCTTCTGGAAGTCAATAAGCTAGACAAAGATTTCTTTGAAAAATTAGTAGAATATTGGTAATTGTTGAGACTGGCTGATGGGCCTATGGGAGGTCATTATAGTGTTCTCTCTACTTTTGGATATGTTTGAAAAATTTTATTATAAAAAGCTGAAAACACATCCCCACCACTGTAGGTTCTGTTCCCTTTTGGCATCTGAGAAATCTTGATACATTCATTCCCACTGAGTTTTGCACATTGCAAAACTCATTGAATTTGCACATTGAGTTTTTTCCAATATTTCAAATTCCTTTATAAACAAATCAAGACTTTCCTCTCTTTGAATAACTCTTTTGTTTGTCTCTATAGACTTCTGTAGCTCTTCTCCTTGTCACTGTCAAATATTTATGAGTACCGAATGAACACTTCTTGCTTCCTTTCACTCCCAGGCCATCCTCCAGAAGTGAGTCTTCCCTCATGTTCCACTAATCATACTGTTATATAAAACAAGAAGATAAGCCTTAAGAGCGGGGGAGAGTATGTTAATCTCCAGTTTAGCAGACTCAATCTAGATTTCACTCAGTCTTTTCACCCCACGTCTTTTGGAACTCGGAAGTTTGCAGAAATTAGGTTTCTGTCATTATCTTGTTATTTTCAATTGTCAGAGTTTTTCTAAGACTGTGGTAGTTGTGTGTGTGTTCTGAAAGGCAATTGATGTGATTAGTGCCAATCTACTCCACTGTCAGATTGATATTTATAAAATTTTCTCAACACGTGGAGATTGTAAGAGCCCCCTGTGGTACTCTGATATGCCACATCATGTAGGAACTCACCTGCACTGGCTTCCTAGCTCTTCCATAATGGACCTTACCCCTTCTGGAGCCCAGTGTGATATCCTCATAATCTAGTCACGGTTCTCTCCTTACCACCTCCCCCCAGTTCTATGCTGTTACTCATGCTGAATCCCACACCAGGAATGCCTCCCTTACCTCCTTTTCTTCAACCCTATCCAGCCCTTTCCTTCTCCTCTGGTACTTCCTCATTTCCAGCAAACCTGGTCTCTTTCTACCACCTGACTTGTCTCTTCCCTCCTATTATGTTTATAGTTGGTCACATTTCACCTACTCCGTCATTATTTTCAGATAGCTCTGTATAAATATCTCTTGTCTTCCTGAATAGATTTTACGCTCCTTCAGGACAGGAACCATACCTTATCCTTTCTTGTGTCTCCCACACAAATGGTACCTCTCAGTATGAATATGTAATAAGCACTTAAATCTTGATTGATTTGTTTTAAAATGCAGATTACATCTGTTGAAATTTTGGATCCTTAAAGTTCATTAGGAAGGATTAAAAAGTACAAGATGTAAATTGATCCCATTAAAATCTTGTAGATTGGACATTATTTAGAAATGTTTAATAGAATATATCCTCTTAAGTCTGACAAGTGACAGAAGGAATGAAAAGGAGAACAATAATGCCTGTGATTTCCTGGCAGTTACTCTGTGCTATGCCCTGTGCTAAATGCTTTACGTACATTATCTCAGGATAATCCCATGAGGTAGGTATCATCGTCCTCAACTTACACAGGAGGAATCAAGGCTCATAGATAAGGATCTCCCCATAGCATACAAGTGGCAGAGCCTAGATTTCAACACAGGTCCTTCCATCTCTAAAACCTTTAACCATTATGTGGTTCTGCAAATAAAGATTCGAGGGTCCACTTATTAATTCAAACCTTGTGGGCCTTCTTTTCCTTAAAGTTGAGAGCAGTGGCTGCCTCACCTTCCCAATCTTCTGTTTCTAATATATGTTGTGTGATTCTTTTAAGCACTGTTCCTTCAAACTTGGCCTTGGAGCAAATCTCATAGGCTTGTGTTGGCAGCAGCTGATACTTAGAACAGCCCTGCCTTCTGGAAAATAAATGCTTGCCTGGTGCCTGCCTTGCATCTCACCCTACTTTCTGGTGAGAATAGAGTTCCTTCCTAATGCCAAGAAGCAATGTTTCCTGTTGGTGTTTGACTGTCTCCATAGTTGATCAGATATAAGATGAGGGACAGAGACAGACTATGAACACCTTGAAATCATTCTGTTACTAGAAGAGCATTTGCTGCTGTGGAAAGGACTCTTTTTAACTCCATGTGCATTATATAGTTCTGTGGCATGCTTTCTAAGAGCTGAGTAGAGAGACCACGGGAATGAAAGAGGTAAATGTGGACCAAGTGAAAGAGACATGAAGTGGTCCTGAATCATGTGATTCAGCCACTGGGGCAAACCATTTTCAGTTCGCCTTTCCTTTCCTTTATCTGCTAGGTGCCATGCCATGTGATGGTTTGGATATCTTGGTTACATTTTCTTTCTTTTCTTTTTTTCCTCATAGTCACCTATAAATACAGTTCTTTGGCCTAAGCCTGTGGAACATTAATTCTCAAACTTCACCATTCATATGGAATCACCCAGGTGGTCAAAAATGCAAAGTTTGAGTGTGACCTGGGCCTGTGCCCCTACAATGCAGATGTTTTCCTTCATACACCACCTCTGACACTTTGCTCTTGAGAAGACCAGCCCGCGATGGGAGCTACGTGGCTGTGAGCCCTCTCAGTGCCTCTTTGCAGGGTGTCAGATTCCAGCTTCCCTTTCTCCCTGAGGTCACGCTCCTGATAGTCCCAGTCAACCTGAGTGATGGTCACTATAGTTTGCTTTCTTCCAGAAACTTATTTGAGAAATTTGGAAGAAAAATTGACCCAGAACAAGCTCATTTTACAGGATGAGTTGAAAACCATGCTTCACTTGTGTGTGTCCCGGGATGACGTGGAACTGGCTAAAAATGTCATTTACAGGTGAGACATGTTCTCA